CCCTGTTCATTGCATAGGTTGGTCATTATTTTTAACAGCCAGGTTTTGAGGATCTTTATCAAAGATATTTATGTTTATTCAACAATGAATATCAGACCATATACGTTCTTAAGATTTACTCAAATAAATCATCAAATCCAATATCAGTCTAGCTCTAGTATCAAAAGTTTTCCATGTTATTTTAGGATTAATATGCTGTTATTAAAGAGTTATTATAGAGTTACTAAAAGCTTATGGTGTGGACTGGTTCAATCATTTGCTCTCCTTTTTTTAGAGAAGAAACTTGATTCAAAGGCTATTGCATCCATTTTTTAAAAAGGTGACTAATTAAACAAAAGAAATCCCCCAAAATATAACTTTTGCAATGTTAAATCTCTGGTGCAACACTGCAGTGACCGCATTTAATGAACTGAAGGGAAACAACTCTGTTTAGTGAATAGGTTACCTTTAGGTTTTGTTATTCTGTGGTTTAGCAATGATGTGTAAAGACCTGCAGTTGCAGTATTGGTCATCATGTCTAGACCTGCTGGTTTTTCCATCCACCAGGTGGGACGCACAGGGTCAAAGGTGACTGAGTGAGGTGTGGGTGTGGTGTTAACTCTGACCCCTTACATTTGGCTTTTTACGTCTGTATAACTGGGGCCAAGGAGGAAGAAACAACTTGGCACGTTTCAAACAGGTTTATACACACACAGCACTGCGAATAATCGGATTTAAGTGATCAAAGCATTTGCACGTTTCAAAGCAAAGCGATTCCCATTTGCAATTTCCTTAATAGCCACTGATATGAATACATGTAAATAGATTAACATGGATTCATATCAAAGTCAGGTTAGATTAGTCAAAGAAGGACACGATGCAGCAAATTTCACACATTAATACTGACAGTGAAAAAGACAAACAGGTTCACATCTAATTATTCATATCTTTGTTACAGTTTTGGAGACACAAGAAAACAGGCCCAAAAATGGTCACTCCTTCACTCCTATTTCTGTTATTGCTGACGTTTCTTGAGGTAATAGCCGAGAGTGACCCCACCTCCGCTGACACATGCACACCCGAGCCACAGCCCCCGCTTACACCTTCCACCCCTCACCCCTGATGGATCACTCAACACACAAATACATACAGCTGAGAGATTCTTTTTTTTCCCCCTGCCTCTGTCCTCCTCAGCCAGCCGCCTCCTCAGACAGGAAACCTCAGTTTCCACTCCTCCTCCTCCTCTTCTGGGCCTCTCATTCCCTCTTTCTCTCTCTTGATCCCTCTATTCTTTGCTTTTGTTTTTCTCTCACGTTCACTGCTCTTCTAACTCTTTCAGTTTGTTTTTCTCTTCCTCTTCTCATCGTATTCTTCTCTCACTTACTACTGTTCCCCTCCCAGGTTTGAATGGTACATTCATTGCCAAATTATTTCCTCTATTCACACCATTTATTCAAGATAAATGGTGTTTCAGTCACGTAAGTACATTTTTCTTACTCGGAATCTAAACTTCTCTCCTTCCCCTTCCCCCTGTTGCAAAAAAGCACACAGGATTGTACACAGTGTTATGTAATAGCAGCATGCTTGGAGCCATTGGGGAAGGGCTACTGAGGGAAAAAGACAGTTGTTGGAGCGCTAGAGTCATGACGGCTGCAACACAGAGACAGAGGGGCACGTGTGTCTACATGCTTCATAACAGGGAGAAAAAAGCACAAGAGGGCCACATGTTCTTTGAGAGTTTTAAAAAGAGAATAGGAATATATTGCATGAAATTAAAGAAAGAGTGAGCATGCAAAATGAAGTGATAAAGATGCAAAAGAGGAGAGGAAGGCACACGAGACGGGGGGAAAAGGGAGTGAGTGAAGGAAGGAAAGAAAGAAAAAAGGGAGGGATAGACGTATTGAAGGAGGGAGAGAGTGCAACAGGAAGCTTCTCAGCGAGCTACCGATGGCCTCCAGCCAAAGCGTTCAGACACTGAAGAATTCCAGGCAGAGGGCAGGCAGGGAGGGAAGGTGCCAGGAGGGAGGGAGGGAGGCACAGAACGAGGAGGGCGGGGCGCACTTGCGGTTTGTTGTCAAAGAGGACTTCTACATAAGAAAGGAAGAGCATGCGCTTAAAGCAATATGTCTCTGTGGTTGAACATTAACATTCAAACTTTGTTATGAACAGTCAGACATTAGCCTTCCTAGATTTCCAAAATACATTTCTTTGTTCTTTTGCTTTTTGTTATGAATTTAGGTACACAGTTAATAAAAGGGAATTCCAACTGTCCATCCATACTGGATTATGATTTTTAAAATAACTAAATACTAAGTTCCAGCATATGAAGACGGAATGATTCACTATCAGAAGAAAGAAATGTGATGCTGTGACACTAAAGTGGAAACAACTAGTCGATTGATTAGTCAATCGACAGAACATTCATCGACGACCATAATGATATTCAATGAACTGTTTTAGTCAACATTTCAAGCATAAATGTCAAATATTTGATGGTTCTAGCTTCTCCAATGTGAAGATCTGCTGCTCTGTTTAAGATCCATTTTCTCTTTTCACTATTTTCTGACATTTTATAAACCAAGACTGTCAGATTAATGGGTCATTAAAATAATCCTTAGTTGCTGCCATACATATCAGGAATTTCTTGTGGTATTAACATTATGGACCTACATGCGTTCTAGCAAATCAAAATATGCATTTGAAATCCACAGGATGTAGACCTTTATGCAGTTGTGCAAAGAAAACACTACTACAACTACTACTACACTACACTACTGGCCAGTGATTTGATATTAATAGCAGACCAGGCTGAATTAAACATTAGAGGCATCTTAATAGCATCCAGACGGACCTGACAACAGAACAGCAATTCCACTTAGTTTGCCCTATAGTGAGATTAGGCCACAAATGATCTATAAAGAGCCATCTGACTGAGATTTCACATTGTGTCAGAAAGCCTTATGCCCTGCTAAACCCAGGATTATTGCACGACACAATGACCTGACTCAACCCTTGGTGGGGAGGGGAGGGACGGGTGGAAGGACGATGGGTGAATTTCAAAGCAAGCGTGCATTATCAGATCGATACAATAATGCGTTTTGTGAATAAGAATTTGACTTCACCTTAAAACTGTAAATCTTTATGCAAAGTTCTTGAGAGTTGTTTCTCATCCTGAAATTGATTTGGAAGGGAACAGAGCTTCAGGGTGCAAATACCTTCAGAAAATCGGTTCTGCAAAATAAAAGCAATCATCCAAACTATTCTGACAGAACAAATGAAAAGGGACGAGGCAGGTATAGGGGGAGAGAGTGGCTGCACATTGGCATGAGGCTAGGAAACTTCTTCCAAGCCTCAGTCAATTTATTAGACTCCCTAGTAGCTGCTATATGCCATGAGCGGTACATGATTGAGGGCCCACGTGTAGCAACATGTGTTTTGAGTCACTGGTTAATTTTTTTCTTCCACCTACTCATTTTTAAAATCAGATAGGCTACATAAGTTTTTAATCAACTAAAGCAGTTTTAATCTATACTACAATATCAGGACAGCAATCAGCGGTAAACAGATAATCCCCTTGGGAGGATGACTCAGAGTGTTTAAGCAGTAAACCTACTAACGCTGATGCTTAAGGCACTTCGCACAACGGTACTGTAGGCTTTGAAGAGTGGTGAGTAATCTTACAATAACGTGGGGCATTTCACAACATAGCAGTTTCATAGCGCAGCAAAGGGCGGCAGGAACCAATGAACACAGCAGGAGGCATACCTCCATCCATGAGAAGAGAAGGGAAGAAAGTATGTGTTTGTCTTTGCACTCAAGAGATTTGATCGACATCCCCACCCCGGCTTACTTTGACCTCCCACTAACTCTGCTGGGTCTCTCTCTACCTCCTGCAGTCTGTTGAATGCATCCTCTCTCATCTCTTCTCTGCCGTACTTCCACATAAACAAAAACTTGCATGTTCCCTCTCAGTTCTGTTCCCTCCTGACTTCTTCCTCACTTCCTTGGGCTATACAGTATATCCCAATCGTCTGTCATCACTTTCTCCTCTTCCTCTCTTCCTTCTTTCATCTCTCTCGTCCTCTTCTCTCTCTTCTTTCTCTCTTGAGACCAACTGTTCTCTCCCCACTTTTCAGTCCATTCCTGTGGCCTCCCTCCACAGGCAGTGATGCATCCTCGACTCCTGCGTGCAATCACAGGTCTGGAGTCGGCTCGCCAGCCAAGCCGAGGGGCTCACCAACACCACGCTCAGTAGGAAACAACAGGAGAGGAAAGAATGGGGGGGGGGGGGACTAAAGAAAAGGAGAAAAAACAGTTTGAGGCCGTCAGAGCTGGTGGTGGGTGAAAAAGTACAGTGATAAAAGTTAACAGCTCCGTTTTACAATTTGTGCAACAAAGCTTGGGGTAAACATGTTTTTGTTTATATTCATGTGGTCAGGAAGACTCCATGACACTATTGTAAGTTTTCTTAAAGGTACCAGAGGAACTTTAAAATGATTCTGGGGGATCAAACAGCACAACATCCCGGCCCCTTGTCTTCTCATCAGCCCACTAACCAGCTGTGTCCGTTTTTCTAAGGTTGCTGGATAGGGTCTGTGTTTCGGAAGTGATGGTTCTCTGCTACTCCCACACTAAATGCTGTCATTCCAGCTGACTCACACCAACATTAGCATTATTCTAGCTAGACAGGCAGTATGAAATGCGAGCAATATTTGTTGAGGTATAACGGTGTCAGTATCCCTATGCTTGTTTTAACATTCTCTCTGAACGTCCTTTTCTCCATCTTTCCTTGCTGGGGCAGTGCAGGTGACATGTGTTAGCACTGTGAGTATATAATGGATCGCAGTGGAACCCTAAGCTCTTTTCACTGTAGAGATGCATGCATGCAAGAGTGATCTTATCTGATGCACTAAGGCATGGATGGAAAAAAGCGGTTAAAGCACTTTAAAGGGAAATATTTAAAGCTGAAACCTTGCAATGTGCATGCGTGTGTACACAAACACACACACATACACACTCACCCCTGGTTTGCTGGCTTTGTAGAGGCAGACCTCCCCTAAAGGCAGCAGAAATGAGCACAAGGTCAGGTTAGGAATGCAAAGCACTGGCACCTGCCTAAATCTTTAAAATACCAGGTTCTCTAAGCACACACTCACTCACACACACACAAACAAAAGGCTACTGGCAGCCACTCCCTAAAACTCAGGGAAGGGTTTAAGCCTTTAGAGAAATGACTTCAGCTCAAAACAGAGCCCACAGGTGTGCATCCAAAAACTTGGATGTATGACAGTATACCCACCACATGTATAACCACCACGGCTTCGAGCTCCTTTCAAAACATAACTCAGTGTACAAAGCAACTGTGGTTAAACTCAACAGGGGATGTCTGTTATATTCTCTCACTGGTGAAGATCCAGCACCAGTTCTAAGCCACTGGGCAGGAGGGAATGGGAGGAGGTCCAGAAATCCCTCTTTCTTTCTCTCCCCTCTCTCCCACACAGTTAACAGCAAGCTGAGGGCAGATTAATGGGGTTGACATGCGTATGGAAACTGTGGTACGATAAGCAGCAAACCCAGGCTATATTTCAGCGCCAGTTGCTGGGCTAATGTGGTCTATCCTCCCAGTGACTTCAAGGATCAGGAAAAGAGGTATGGAGGAATATAGTATTATGCACACATAAACACTGACTGTACAGTGCCCTATGTACAGCCATACAAACATGCCTACGTCTGTAGACACACACACACACACACACACACACACACACACACTAGTGCACAGCATGCTGGCTGCGTGTTGTGGAGTTCAGACCAGTTCAGAGTGCCGTGGTACCGCTCCAGCTTTGGGAGGGGTGCGCCTGTCTCACAGTCATTTCCTGGACGGGAATATTATGGCACCACACGCATGAGAAACAAACCCCTTTCGCCTTTACGCACTGACCCCAGCCACTTTCATTTGCTTGCAACTCAATAAGTCAACAGCACAGAGTGAACTCCCTGGGAAGCAAGTCTCCTTATTCAATAGCCAAGGTAATATGATCCCAACAACAGCTTTATGCAACAGGGCCTCTGGGAGGCTGGGGGCAAGGCATGGGGCGAGCTAGTGGGTGCTCTCTTTATCACTGAGTGGGGTTGCCGAGGCCTATCGGACACGTCTACGGTGTTGTAACTTTTCTGCCTCTTCAGCACAGAATTCCTGAATGGCCACTCCCTGTCCCTGGAGAGGGCTGGGTGACACCTGTGCACCAGCCATGCTGCACAGGAGAGAGCCAAGAAGGGGAGGGGGGGAGCTTATGGGGACACAGAACCAGATGTGCTCTGGACAGGGAGTGTCTCCATAAATGTGTTTGTTAGCATGTGAGTCTATATGTGTGCATAAGTGTTTTTATGCACAGAGAGGAGGAACAGGGCAGAGGCTCAGCTTCCAAAACCAAAACATATTGAAAGGGGAAGAAAACAGGAAGAGGGAGAAATACAAAACAGCAGAGAGCAATTAGCAGACAAAGTGACGTGATGTTGGTTTGTTGTGGGGGCAAACACACACTACAGGACAATCAAGGAGCTCCTGCTTTTTTTAATTTGGCT